CCCCAAAACCCCAAAACCCCAAAACCCCAAAACCCCTAAATCGTTTTGAAAAATTGAAAACTTTTAAACTATTTTAAGCCAATGGGTAAGCTGGACAGTCAAAAATAAGGGCATTGTTGTTTTGATCTCTGAAAAGCTATCACTGAAGTTCCAGCTTAAGTTTTTAAGAAATGAAATTAACTGGTTTGGAAGCTCCAAGATCCATAAAAGATTAGAAAATGACTTCACAAATATTCAATCATCTCAATTTATGGATGGAGATAAAGCTAGGCTCAGTGAATTAATCAAATTAATAACTATTGATATAGAAAGACAACCAAGACAAGGCAACCAAGGAGACGAGAGGAAGGAATCATATGAAGAAAATAAGATTGCTAAATCACAAGACCTTCCGAATGAAGCAAATGAATTAAAAGAGAAATATAGAAAAGTAGAGCTTGGGCTTTAAAATTATATAGCTTCTGTGAAATCGAGATCAACTATGCTCCCACAAGAACGGATGTATCAAGAACTCTTTCAAAGGCCTCTTAAGAAACTTTGCTATCGGCTTCGGCCTCAATGCTGCCAAAATAATTTTGTTCGGCTTGCTCAGACCAGCCAAGTTCACTCGGAACTTTACTTGGAAGAACTTGCTGAGCTGCGCCAGACTGGGAGCGTTTCTGGGGTTGTGGAACTTCAGTTACAAAGCATTGTTGTGCATGGGCAGAAGGCTGTTTAAGAGCGACAAGATCAGTTCAGTGGTGGCAGGTGCCATTTCAGCGCTTTCATTAGCCATTGAAGAGCAGAGTCAAAGAGAAACAATCGCTCTATATTTATTTGCTAGGAGCACTCATGCAATGGCACTTAAGTTAGAGAATGACGGAATAACAAGAAATCCAGATAAAGGAGAAGTTATGTTTTGCACTATATGTGTAGTTGGAGTAATAATGATCTCAATGTACCATGTTGGTAATTTTTATGAACTAAAATTTAGAAATTTTAAGTAAATCTCTAAACAAAATCGTTTTTACAATGCTAGTACAAAAGAACAATGATAAGATATGTAGACTCATAAACTACTACAAGAGAAATAAGGAACTAAATGGAAACACTGACTTCAACATCACCACTTGGCTGAAGGATATTTATCCTACTTCGAACATATAATCTTCAATTGTTTTGTTCAATTTTCCTCTTAAAGATTGGGGTTTTGGGGTTTTGGGGTTTTGGGGTTTTGGGG